TGGCTGATGTCTTATCACGATTGGACGTTATTAGTATGCCAGTCGTGGTAAGCACACAACAGTTAGCCGAACAGCAAAAAAGCGACTCAGAATTACAGCAATTATTACAGGGTAACATAGCACTGCATCTAAAGCAGCTCAGAGTAGATGATTCTGACAAAGCAATTTACTGCGATATTGCAGGTGATAATATTAGGCCGTATGTGCCAGCAGTGTTAAGAATGCAAATATTTAATAATGTCCATAACCTTTCACATCCTAGCAGTAGAACGACCAAGGAGCTGATTGGCAGCAGATTCGTCTGGCCCAAAATGAATAAAGACATTTTGCGCTGGGCTAGAACCTGCATTCCATGCCAACGCAGCAAGGTCAGCAGGCATATAATTAATCCTCCACAGCGTATGGTTGTTCCAGAGGAACGTTTCAAACACATACATTTAGATTTAATAGGTCCATTACCACCAAAAGACGGTTACAGGTACTGTTTAACGATGATTGATAGATTCTCCCAGTGGCCTGAGGCAGTACCTATTAAAGATATGACAGCCAAAACTGTTGCTATAAATTTTTGCAATACTTGGGTTACAAGATTCGGAGCTCCAGCAACGATTACAACCGATAAGGGCTCACAGTTTGAAGGAGCACTTTTCAGAGCTCTCACTAATTTAATTGGTTGTAAGCACATCCACACGACAGCTTACCATCCAGCGTCAAATGGCATGGTGGAAAGATGGTATAGGTCATTAAAAGCAGCTATTATGTGCCACGAAAGTAATAATTGGACAGCAGTTTTGCCTACGGTTCTATTGGGTTTACGAACTAGCTTTAAACAAGATATTCAGGCAACGGCAGCAAAAATGTTGTATGGTGTACCCCTTAGACTGCCAGGAGAATTTTTCGTCGACACTCAAGCACAAGACAATTTTAGTTTAGACAGTTTTAGAGATTACATGCGACAGATCAGACCTAGACAGACGGCACACCACGATAAACGGAAACACTTCATCCCTAAGAGTTTACATGACTGCACACACGTTTTTATCCGTATTGACGCTGTTAAAAAACCACTAGAGCAACCATATGAAGGACCTTATAAAATTGTAAAGCGTGTCACGGATACCACCTTTTTAGTAGATATTAAAGGTAATCAAGTCGTGCTGTCGACGGAACGGTTGAAACCAGTGTTCATAGAAAAAGATGCTCATAACCTTGCAAATCCGTACTCTAGAGTAGTATCGTCTGCTCTTTCTGACAGATCGAGCGACATAGAGGGGGGTAGTGTGGCGACACCTACTTCCGTTCAACCGTCCCGCCGAAGGGTACATTTTTCCCCCATTTTTCCTGGAAAGGGTTTTCCCTCGGGAAGAGAAAGTCACTTCCCTGAAAAGCGTGCTTGTGAATAGACGCGTCGCATCACACAGTTTATATTTTAATCGCGAACTATTTTTGTAATTATCTATGTGCATAATGAATTATTAAGAATACTATACATATTATTCACATCATAAACAATTAAGACATTTTAATAAACTTTTGAACCTTTTCCATTTTAAATCGAGTGAATATTTCTATTCATTTACCTACACTCGATAAAGTGGGAGTCCTGTTTTATTCAAGGCCCCCACAGCAGCGGCTTCTACAGCACTATCTGTATAATTATAGACTACGTTTCCATCGAGGGTCCAAATCGGGTCAGAGTCGGGTTGGGGTCAGCGCTTGTACGGTGGAAACGCCAAAGGTTTAGTTGAACTCTACCCTACAAAATTTTAGGGTAGCGTTCAGTTGAGGTTCGGTGGAAACGACAAGAGTCGAGTTCGTGTTGCCAACATAACAAATCCAAATTGCATTGTGCATCACGTGCTGTATTAATCGGTGTAGAAGAGGTTACTATTACTTTTT